TATAATGTCACTGACCCCTCCATAGCAACCATACTGGTTACCATAGCAACCAAATTGACACATCTCTATCTCAGCTTTGGAAAATGCTAGAGACATGGGGGTTGTTTTGTTTGACTCATGGTGACACAGGAAACATTAGATAATGTCAATGACATTTCCATAGCAACCATAATAGTTATCATAGCAACCCAATTGCCATATCTCTAACTCAGCTCTGGGAAATACTAGAGACATGGGGGTTGATTCATTTCCCTCAGAGTGACACTGGGAACATTCTATTATGTAAATGACCTGTCCAGAGCAACCAGACTTTTTAACATAGCAACGCAATTGGCATATCTTTATCTTAGGTTAGGAAAATGCTAGACAGAATTTCATCTTATTAATATTATACCGTTCAGCCTCCACTTTCAACTTTTGACACTTTCAACTTTCAAATGTTTCAGCTTTAGCTTCCACTTTCAACTTTTGACCCTTTCAACTTTACAATGCTTCTCCTTTCAACTTTATACACTTTCAACTTTATAATGTTTCACCTTTCGGCCTCCACTTTCAACTTTTGACACTTTCAGCTTTCAAATCTTTCACCTTTCCCCTTCACTTTTCAACTTTTGAAACTTCCGACTTTCAAATCTTTCACCTTTCAACTTCACCTTTCAACTTTAGATTTTTTTCAGATACTTTCAGCCTGCTTTCATTTTCAGCTCTCTGCATTCACACGCATTTTCCGCTAGGAAATGCATATTCTAGTTATTATTCTTCTCTTTTCCCACGTCAAAATTTTACAACGCTTCTCCTCCTAGCCCGTTCGAGCTACAGCCACGAAACTTTCCACGGTCGTCCAGACTGTTCCCCCTCGAGTTGCTATATCTCTTCGGACCGATTGGACCAGCGGTTTCCGTATAAATCGCGAATTTCGGCCCAAAAATCGCTCAAGTCATTCCCTATGGGAGACCTAGAGTGGTGATGTCATCGCCCACTCTAACTTTGAGCAAGCTCAGTCTTGTTGCTACTTGCACTGTTTTCTCAACTAAAAATTAACCTTTACACACACATTTTATATCTAAATGGTAGAGATTTTTGTCCTCTTTCAGTTGGTGCTGTTTTCATTTTTAAAAAACACACGGTTTTTACTCCAGGTGGCCTAAACCACAACGAGTGCACATAATTGCTCCATTCACCTCCATTCAAAATTCTGGTGGATTCTGTTTAAAATCTCAATCGCAGGCTATTTTTAACTCGCCATAAATCATTCAAACTTTATCACAGCTTCACAAAATTTACACCATTCTCTTCCATAAAATCTTGGGATTCTAACAGTAAAAGAAATATTTCAATACCTCTGTTCATTCTTTCGTAATGTTTATTTGTTTGAGGGTATGGATTTCTCTAAAATGAGCAGTTGCCTAGAATCAAATGAAGGCTATTTGTAGCTCGCCATAACTTTTTTATTTCTAATCACACCTTCACAAAAATTACAGCATTCTCTTAGTTAGGGTCTTCTGCTTCTGACAAAGAAAGAATCATTTCGATATGTCTTGCGGTTCTTCTATAATCTTTATTTGTTTGAGGCATGAAAATTGGATTTTCTCCAGCAGATTTGCCATCATTTGAAAATCTGACAGTTGGCCCTTTGCAGCAGCTGACTCGTTTGAAAATCTGGCAGTTGATAACTCCAGGTGCAAGCTGCTTTCAAATAAGTAGGTCAAAGGTGTCTCATTGACTTTCAATGGCCCATTGAAATGAATGGAGCATGACCCCCATAGATCCTAATGTACAAGAGCTTCTGTAATTGATTGACACTGGAAAGTCATACAAGCATTAAGGAAGCAAATTACTTATCAGCCCATCATTGCTTGTGAATTAACATAAATTAATTAAGCCACACCCACTTTTTGACATAACTTTCAATGTAAAATATCTTCTAAACGGAACACAGTAGAGACATGGGGGTTGCTTTATATTATCCTAAATGAAAAGTAGATTACAACATGATGTCACTAACTCCTCCATAGCAACCAAATTGTTTACCATAGCACCTATATAGCCACATCTCTATCTTAGCTTAGGAAAATGCTAGAGACTTGGGGGCTGGTAAGCTTCACCCATATTGACAGCTGAAACATATTATGTTAATGACACCTCCATAGCAACCACACTGGTTACCATAGCAACCAATATGGCATGTCTCTATCTCAGCTTAGGAAAATCATAGAGATGGGGGTTGCTGTATTTTACCCGTATAGATATGGGGAGCAATGTATTAGGTCAGCGACCCCTCCATAGCAACCAAACTGGTTACCATAGCAACCAATATGGCGCAGCTCTATCTCAGCTTTGGAAGGTCATAGTGACATGGGGGTTGATGTATTGACATGGGGAACAATGTGTTGGGTCACTGACCCCTCCATAGCAACCAGACTGGTTACCATAGCAACCAATTTTGCATGTACCTATCTCAGCTCAGGAAAATCATAGAGACATGGGGGTTGCTGTAATTTACTTGTATTCATATAGGGAACAATATATTAGGTCAGCGAACCCTCCATAGCAACCACACTGTTACCATAGCAACCAATATGGCGTATCTATCTCAGCTTACGAAGTCATAGAGACATGGGGGTTGGTGTATTTTACTCGTGTTGACATGGGGAACAATATGTTAGGTTACTGACCCCTCCATAGCAACCAGACTTGTTACCATAGCAACCAATATTGCATGTACCTATCTCAGCTTATGAGAATCATAGAGACATGGGGGGTTGGATTATGTTATTGTTGCGGAACTGACAACATTTAAAGAAATAGGTATTAACGGCACCAACACAAGCCAACATCGAAGTTTGCGTGCAAACTTTAAAATCTAGTTA